AGGGACCGTAGAGGTCATCTAATCCCATCCCTTCCTTCTGAGAACAGCGGTGAATTTGAGGTACCAGTTAGTCATCTAGATGGAAACATCCTTTAGTCCATTGGAGATATGAGTCTCAAGTAACATCAAGACTGTAAACATAGATTTGTGTATCATCTGAATAGAATTAATATTTTAACTCTAGTAGTGAATGAGATTGACAATTAAAAGAAAATAGAGAAGAGCAGAAAATGGAAGACAAAACACTGGAGAGCAATTTTCTTAATGATGAGAAAGAGAGAAAGAAGCCTATGAGGGAGTTACAGAAAAAATAGAGATGAGAGAATGGATTCATTTCAATTCAACTAACATTTATACAAGCACTTACTATGTGCTGAGTACCAAGGCAGCAAATTAAAAAAAACAATGCTTGGTCAAAGAGCTTACATACTACTGAGGAGTTCCTTCCTATTAAGCTATTTGGTAAAAAGCATTTGGCTAGATTTCCCCCTCGTATTCTACCATGACCTTTCCCAAGACAATTGTTATACCTTTATAACACTCTTTTCTTTTTCCTTCTCCCTCCTTTTCTTGCTAACTGTAAAGTGGGCAGTGTATTTATGATGGAAAATTGACTACTGCAGAAACAGTAACTTTAAAAAGAAAAATCTGGCACTTATTCAATATTGCTATGGAAACGGCTATTCCCAGCAATACACTGGCATGATATAGTTCAAGGATTTAGGTCTTGTGTGGGAGGTTTTTGCCATCCATTAAATCAATGATCCACTCTTTATAACAAAAATCTCCAGACAGTCACTCATAAAAGCTTTTCTTCTTTGACTTGCATAAGAAATTTGTGTCTTTATTTTCATGAACATAGCATAGTGGATGAAGGACCTGATGGATTCAGAGTCAGGAAGACTTGTGTTCAGATCCAACCTCTGAAGGGTACTGACTGCATGATCCCAGGAAATCATTTAACCTTTCAGTACCCCAGGCAGTTTTCTAAGACTATAAATCACAGACAAAGTACTGATTTATAATGATAGAGGAAGTTCCTCACCAGGAACTCCCAAAATAGATGAAATCAAAGGTTGGGTCTGAAAAAAAAAGTACATATTTTCTTTGTTTCTTTCCTTTAAGACTGGGTCTCCCTATCTTGCCCACACTGGACCTGAAGGGCCTTCTCACTATTGATCAGCCTGGGGAATTTTACCTGCTCCATTTCCATCCTGGACCAGTTTTCTCCTTTTTAGGCAACTTGATGGCCTCCTGCTCCTGGCGGTTCACCAGACTGATGCCAGACAGTGAGGAAACCCAATTGGTTTAGTTCACTATAACTCAGAATTTCTGGGCCACACTCAGACTCCTTGGTAGGGGAGGGATTGATTATAGTCATATATCACCATGCTTGACATTTTGTTTCTTTACCTATGCAGTTAGAAAACAAGCAGTCTCAATAGCTGAAAACATTACTTGTTTCATTAATCATTTGAGTAACAGTGATGCATAAGTAAGTTTGCTCTGTCCTCAGAACCTAAGGATCATAGTTTGAAAAGCTCATAACAAGTCCAAGCTGCCATGGGACCTGTGATGAGCAGACAGATTCAGAAGGCCCAATTCTTCACCCTGAGATCCTTCCACCCAGGTGTTTTTCCAGTGACAAGGTTTCAAGCACAGACACCCAGCTCTGTCAGAGACAAAGGGCAGGGAACATTCTTCTGGTGGTGCTGCTGCTGGGACAGACAGACAATGAGGAGTGGTGATGAGTGATGGATGATGAAGCTGGACCTCCAACCCCACCTCCACTCCCCTTCTCGAATCTCCTGGTTTGAAACAAAACACATTCCCATACCCTTTCAATTCTGAATGTGTAATAATTTTCCAGTAAGCCACACAAACCTTGTTTTTTTTCGTTATTTTTTTTTTCTGGGGCAATTTCCTATGTGTTTATGGTTTTCCCATTCTTCCAAGTGCTGTCATCAGCACCAAATACTATGACAGGCAGCTCTGGGTGCCTAGGATAGAAATGATCTCATCCCTCCTCTCCACCCCCTCCCTCTTCCAGGCAAACCAGTTCATGTTATGTTTTCCAAATTAGATTAACTGTTCCACAATCAATTAGTGAGGAAACAGTTGATCCTGATGGGACCAGACTGAAGAACCTTCTGGCATCTCCACATCAGTTCTCTGAAAGTGTCAATGGGGCGAATTTCCCATATCGAACTGGAACACTGCTTAGAGTACCAGTGGTCCACAGCGGGCTGTGAAACTTGAGAATTCTAAAACTCAGCAGAGCAGGGAGAATGGACCAGGGAAAGACAACTCTATAATACTGAAAGAAAAAAAAGAAAGAAACTCAACAGTCTCCCTCTCTCAGAATGAGCTCCATTATGAAAACCTCTTTGAGAAGAGGAAGCAAAAGTACACAACTCTCTCATAGGTGGGCAGGATGGAAATGAGCTGTCTTCACAAATTTTAGCTCTCAGAATAGTTGTTACTCCTCTTTGGTTAGTATAGGCCACTTTCCATCCAAGAATAATTACTAGAGTGAGCCAGTGCTTGGAAAAATAACCTAATAACTATTGGTTTTACTATGCAAAGTCACAGTGTAAAATGATCAGGTTAGAAGATTGTTAATATATAAAATGTGAATTAAATAAGATGATGGGAGGAGGGATGCTCAATATGGAAACTCAGCAACTCTTCTGTAATTTATAGTTTTCAGCCAGTGGCCCAAGGCCATAAGAGATTGTGTTGCCCATGATTTCCCAGTTAGTATGTGTCAGAGGCAGGATTTGAATCCAGGTGTTTCTGCCTCCAAGACAAGACCCACTATCCACTATTTTAAGTTGCTTCTCAAATAAGACCACAGTAGTATAAAAATCCCTGAAGGGTTGCGGTCAACTATTTTTCAACTTTTTTTTTTAATCACTGCATGCCATTTACAATTAACTTGAGACTTTATTTTCTCAAATACCTTTACTTAAGAATTCATATGTCAAAAGTGGGAATTTTGGAGAGGATTCTGGGAAGATGGTGGAGTAAGTCAGAAAACGTTCAGCTCTCCAAATTTCCTCTGCAAAAAGACAAAACATTGCCTCAGAGGGAATGTAGAGCAGCAGAAATAAACAAAAGTCAGGGTAAAGCATAGTTCTCCTAAGACAACCTAAGAAGACCTTAGTAAAGGCCTGACCTCCAGGGGCAGAGTTTCAGCCTGAGTAACGTGCAAACACCTCCAGGCCAACTCTGGGGAATCAACAGAAAACAAACCCTGGGGGCAGCTGAGGTTGGGAGACAGCCTCAGCCTCAGAAATTTTCATCTTGGGACAGCATGGGTTGGGGGGTTAGGGGGCAGTTAAGTGATCTGCTTCATTAGAAATAAAACCTGAGGTTTGGTATTGCACAAAAATTGCCATTACAGCTAGGTGACTGCTACCGCATGAAGAACTTAAAAAATTTTGAAATCATCATTAGCAAGTGATTATCCGAAAGGTAAAGGTAAAGGTAGGTGTCACATGGTTAATGGATGACAATCTGTTGTGACCTAGAATTATTCATAACATAGATCTGCCTTGGCCTTATCCAACAGGGTTTTCTTACGTGATGAATCACACGATTAAAGCATATGCTCACCAATAGCACAGTGCTGAGGGCAAGATGATTAAAAAAACAAAACAAAAAAAAAAAAACCAACCACCTCTGATGCTGCACTAATCCAGTCATGGCTAAGACCAACCGAGATAGCCCAGGAAAAGAACCCACTTGATTACAGATTTCGACAAGGAATCTTAAAAGCAGAGGTTTGGGAATCAGTTCCATATCATATTGAAAATGTAAATACTCATTTTCACTATGAGTATTTACACTTCAGAAATAAGCAAACACTACAAATCTGGGCTCGTTTTATTGTTTTGTTGAGTGTCTAGATGTTACAAAGTGAGGGAGAAAATGTTACTAATGAAGATGAAGCTGAAAAGTATATGTCGGTACATATTTTATTTCAGAAAACTGGTTATTAAACATTTACGGGCATAGCCCTGCTTAAAAGGGATTTTTTTGGTGTTTGTAAAAATGTTTCTTTTCCATTAAAAAGTGAAGGGGTGGGAATAGAAATTGAAAAAGACAAAAAAGGTGACCTGCATATTCTGTAAACATTGGAAAAGAATTTGATTATAACCTCTTATTGCCAGCACAGAACATTTCTATTCAAAGAAATCCCAATCATATGCCACTCACTCTGGGTTCTATACTACTAGAGTTCAAACAAGCTGGAAGAGTACTTGGCTGATTTCTCAACTGTCAAGAGGATGAAACATGAAACAAATCATTCTGTACAAGCAATACTCTGTAACCAGCTCTTCCCAACAGGGCTACCTGTGGTTTTGGGTGTCTAAATATTTGGGTTCTGCCTTGAGCACAATTGTCACTTCAAATCACAATCAGTGATGACTGAGAAATCTGTCTGTAAGACCAAAGATGCTTTTCCAGAATGCCCAATTGGTTTCCTACATCTTCCTTCCAAATAAGCACCCAGAGAACAAACTTCTCCCCAACTTCATTCCCAAAGTCAGGAAACTGAGGCCAGGCTGGAGGGGTAGAGTTGAGGTTGAGGAAAGATAGGCTGAAAAACATCCATCCCTGTATATACATAAAAATTTATGGTGAATCTGTTTCTCTAGATAGACTCTACATTTGATATCACATATACAAGTTGTCATTTGCTGAAATTGAAACAGCACCAAGTAAATTAGTGTGTTTCACAGCAAATTCTGAAAATAGGACTTAGCCCTTTACATTAGGAAATGTATCATAAGAACATTTACTTCCACTTCATTTCCTAATGAGGGAAGTTTCATTCCTTTCAGCCACTGAGTCTCTTGGCTAACCCATACATGCTCTCTCTGGTACTATTTCTTTCAAATATTTTTCCAAATGGTTTTCATTCTATGGTAGTTTGTTCACAAACATTTGATTTTGCTCTTTAAATGACATTGTGATTATTTCAATTCTTCCAGCTAACAGACAACTTGATCTCCGACATTTTCACCGCCATTGGCTCAATCACATTAGCTGTATTACTGATCCTCTTTCTGGCAGTGTTTGCCTCCTTCATAGCTTCCAACAAACGGGCAAACCAGGGAACCTACAGCCCCAGTCGTCAAGAAAAGGAGGGGTCACGTGTGGAGATGTGGAATATGGTGCAGCCTCCGCCCATGGAGAGACTGATTTAGAAGAATCCAGTGCCCTCAAGGAAAACCCTGGACTAAATAAATTTGTAAATAACATGTCTCCATTTGGAGATTTGGAGGGAGGGGGGAGGGAAGGGGGGTGGAATGAATGTTCCAAGAGCTGTTCATTTCACAAACGTGATGACCGAGGAATTGTGGAACATTTTCCTTCGATGGCCTTAAGGTCCTTAATGCATGAACTTGGCACCTTTACTCATTATCCTGGGCTAGTCAATCATACAGCTGTTTTTCTGCGCTTGTAATTTCAGCCTGGGTAATTCGCAGAAATGTCTTACAGAATTCAGAGGCTTCTGGGAGAAGCACCAGTGCCTGTCATTTAGATGTTTTGTGAACTGCAGACCCCTTTGGGGTTCATCCTTTAAATAGGTAGATATCATTATTGCAGAAAAACACTACAGAAGAAGTGAAATAAATGTTTCTAATGAGCTCACCCTAGTCATGTTGTGGAAAGATGTTAGTTGTGAACAGTGTGTTGTGTGTGCTTCCATTCTTTGTTCTTTAACCATCGAGTCAAAGGAAGTCATGGGAATAACCATGGCAACAAATAAAGGTTAAACTGTCACTCTTTTTATTGTTCTTTCTTTGTTTTATTAATGACAATAAGAATAGCTAGCATTTATACAGTGCTTTAAAGCTTGCAAGGAGCTTTCCATGCCATCTCATTTGGTCTTCACAACATCTCTATGAAGTAGGTGCTATTATTAATATCCCTATTTTACAGATGATAGAACAAGGGTCAGAAATATTAAGTGATTTTCCCAAGCCCCGCAGGATCCAAAGGAAGATTCTAATTCAGGTCTTCCAAATTCCACGTCCAACACTGTATCTCCTATGCCACCTACCTCTCTAATTACTAGAGTCAATGGTACTTGAATCACTTCTTAGACATAAACCTAGTCAGCATTTGCATCAGTCTTCTCATCCAAAGAATCTTAAACTCATTGTATGTGTGCCTAACTATCCTCCGATTATTAGGATGTTAATGTTAAATTATTTCTCTAAGGTGAGAGAGAAGCGGAGTGTGGTAATGGTTTGGTAGCTGATGTTGGAATCAAGGTGGCCTGGCTTTAAGTCCTGCCACTGACTTTACTAGTTATGTGACCTTGGGCAAATCATTTACCCTAGTGGTACCCCAGGCAATTCTAACAATCACAACCACCACAACATAGCTAGTATCTATATAGCACTTTAAGTTTTGCAAATATGATCTCGTTTTATCCTTATAACAACCTTGAAAGGTAGATGCTATTATTATTACCATATGAGGAAACTGAGGCAGAAGTTAAGTGACTTGCCCAGGGTCACACAGCTGGCAAGTCTCTGAGACTGAATTTGAATTCAGGTCTTTTTGACTCCAGGTCCAGTCTTCCATACATCACCCAACTACTGCCATTCCTTTTGATTTACTTTCCCCTCGAGCCCTCTACTTCATATTTTTTGTTGGTTAACAGAAAAGGCTATGGGTCCTTAATTAAGGAAAAATAATTAAGCTTGTATACTGTGTTTATTTTATTTCATTTGCCCAAACTTGTGATTTCATCAGCATTCAGAACTTTCCCTACATTAATGGAGATCTGCAACTCTTCTGCAATTTATAGTCTGAGAAAAGCAAGAAGGAAAGCATTTATTAAGTGCTTATAATGTGCTAAGCACTGTGCCAAGTGCTGGGGACACAAACACAAGCAAAAACAACACCAGTGCCTGCCCTCAAGGATATTACATTGTAATGAGGGAACAATATAGACCAAAGGGAGCTAACTGAATGAAGATGCTGAGCAGCCTCCAAAAGTATCTCGAAGATAAAATGGTGCTAAAAAAACACTGGCCAGGAAAATCATCTCTATACCCCCTAGATTAATTGAATACTCAGTTTCCAAGACCAAGGAAGGTTTAAGATTGGATAAAGCCACTGGAATATGTCTGTAAAGTATTAATTAATAAAGGTAAGCATTATATCCCCTCCTTAATCTAAGCCAATTAATCTTCCTCACATACCTGAAAGTTCCTAGTGATTATTAGCACTATGATCATGGCATTTCTCTAGTTAAAATTTTTTGGTTTCCCCACTACTGCTAATTAACAGAGCTATAACTAGGTTTGGCAATTGGAACTTTCTCCCAGGGCACCAAAATTTAGAGGATACCAACAACAGATTTAAAAAAAAAAAACTGGGCTTAGCAAGAATAACTGAGCTAGTGAGAAAAACTGGGTTAGCAAATATAATGAGCCTTAATCGGAAGGCATCAGATTGCATGCTTCATCCCCTGGCAACACTCCTCTCCAATTTGCCTCCATGCTAATCTTTTCTGTGATGGCAGCTTCTCCAGAAACAAAGGGACTCAAAAGTATTTATGAAGGAAAGTGCCTGTCTCATTTCCCTGACCAACTCCTGCCACAGTCTTGTATACCAAAGTTTCATATACTAATGTCAACCTTCAACCCCCAAATGATATACAAATGGGACAGATAAAAATAAATGTCGATGACATAAGTAACTAGCTCTCTCTGTGCAATTTCCAGGGACTCAAAATTTATTTAAGGGAAAACTTTCATGCTGTTTGTCCTGGGTATATTTTGTTGTGCTTGCTCCAGGCACTAGAATGAGGATTCTGCCTATGAAATAAAGCATAAACTTACTTTGACAATCAAACCCCTTTAAATCTACCTGTCCAGTCTTAGATCATACTGCTATTTAAACACCTTCACATAGTCTCTACTCCTACCAAACAGGACCCAGATCTTCTTTCTACTCTCTCATTGCTGTGCCTTTGCTGACACTATCCCTCCTACCTGGAATAAATTCTCCATCTCCCAAACTCCATCTGTTGAAAGGGAAAATGAATAAGCATTTATACAGTGTCTATTATGTACCAGGTACTTCATAAATATTATTTCATTTGATCCTCAAAACAACCCTGGGAGGTGGGTACTATTATTATTTGCATTTTATAGTTGAAGTAACTGAGGCAAACAGAGGTTAAGTGATTTTCCCAGGATCACACAGCTAGTAAGCATCTAAGACCAGATTTGAACCCAGTCTTCCTGACTCCAGGTCCAGTGCTTTATTTACTGAACCACTTAGCTATCCCAAAGTGAAATCCCTCACTTGCTTCAAGGCTTAGCTCAGAAGTCACCTCAAACATGAAGGCTTCTCTGATGTGATGGAGGCAATGGACTAACTATTTTTCTCCCCATCCCCTCCACCAAATTTAGCTAAGTTTTCCTTAAAATGTGTCGAAACTATCTTTGACATTTGATTGGCTCAGGACACTAAAGGAACTTACTAAGTACAAAATAGCCCTGAGGAGCTCCAAGCCTTCTGTGAAGGGGGGAGATGTTAGGAAACAATGAAAAGTAGCAAGGCACGCTGAGGGAGAAAAAGAAGGCAGTATGTGTCAGGCAATTCAAACCTCACCACCACCTTGATCACCATGGACCTTCAGACCTCTCATTCTAGGAACGCAAACTTCAATGCCCTGGGAATAGCTGTGCCCCCAACTCCCCTCTAACAATGACAAGACCTGTTTCTAGTCCAGACCCCTGCAGCCATCACTGAGGGAAGAAATCATTTTGGAGAAGGGGCCCACCTTCCTCACCATTACTAGCAACAGTTTGCTAACCTATTGCCACCAAGATAAGCACAAGAGCCTTGGGAATTCGGTACCACCCAGACCACCAGTCTTTGCCTCCAGTCTAGCCCTCACCACTATCATCCAGAGAAGCAACTCCTGTGGTCAACAGACCAGCCATTCCCACCAAATGCCCAACAGATGCTACCTACAGGGCAGGTAAAGAGCCTACCTGAAAGAGCAAGGCACCCTGAGGGAGTGAAAGGAGGCAGCATTTGCCGGGTAACACAAACCACCATCACCTTGACAATCATCTCCCCTCTGACTCCAGTGGAGACAGCCCAGGACTCTGAACCCAAGAGCCTTTGGAATAGCAAGGCTTCTAGCCCAGTGCCTAAAGCCTTTATTTTGAGATTCAACCCTTGTGGCCATATAGCCTGGCAACTCCTCCTACAGGTATTATAGCCACACCTGGAAAATGTCCCAGAAAACAAAGTTCTTGGCACCAAAGTCCTTGACATTGTCAACTAGTTTGACATCAGAAACTGATATGATTTTTATCAACGGAAAGAAGCATTAACATCTGCTTTGCCACAGTACCCTAAGGAACAAGGGACCTTTGGATGGGACTTGCAGCTTTAAACCTCTATTATGTCTCCCCCCCATTAGGATGTGAAGTGAAGCTGCCTTACTTTTTATTTCTACCCTAAGCATTTAGCACAGTGCTTTGCACATAAGTGCTTAAAAAATTTTTTTTGATTCATTCGTTCAACAAATGGAACAATTTGTGCCCTTTCTCTCCGTTCTTACCTCAGATGTAAATCTCTTAATCCTCAAATTTCTCCTAGTATTTATCTATCCCTTTGCTTTACACTTATCTTACTTTCCTTTGTGAGTGGTATATGTGGGGGTAGGAATGGGACTATTCTACACAGTAGATTGAAAATTATTTGAGACGAGGGTGTGTGTTGTATTTATATTTGTATGTTCACCACTTAGTATGTACCTTGCACATAAAAAGTGCTTGGAAAAGGTTCATTGAATTGAATTGCAGTTGGTGATGCTAGTTGGATGACTGATATGATGTAGAAGGGCTGAGTAGCCCACTTCAATCATGTATAATAAACTAGGATATGGATCTCTCACTCCAAAACCCTGACCAAGCTTTGCTAAGAGATAAAACTAGAAACTAGCAGCCAATGAGGTGTTCTTCTCGAGTTGCAACAATGATGAGGTATTTAAGGTGGCCGTTTCCTCTATACGTCATTCATTCACCTCAGAGGAGTAAATGGCAATGGAAATCACTTGGCAGATAGCACTAACAATAAAGAAGAGATCCTGGAAGCTGTCTGCAGACTCCAGAAGAGAAAAGTGGAGACAGACTTCCCACTTGATGACATGTGTTGCAACACA